CCCCACTGCCTATCCACCTCTCCGCCTCGCGCCGCCCGCTCGCGGCACGGCCTGGCCTTGAGTCGGGCCTGTCTTTCTACAGTGGGAATATCCGAAAATAGAAAGAACATAGTATGTCTTTTGTGCGTATATACACATACTTTTTGGGTATATTTAATTTCGCCCAACATCCGCCTGTAGGGGGACATGCCCGACGTAGGCCTGGCCATTGCGGGCCCACAGTTCGACATGCGGAGGCATTTTATTGCACGGCGCAGGAGTGCAGGAGTGCTGAATATCGTCTTCAAAGCTCGAGGAGACCCGAAAGTTCACCAGCTCAACACTTCACAATTCTAGACTGCGCGTAACCCCCCCAGCCCATCTAGAAACGATGCCTAGACGAGTTGCCCTGATCAGGGATGTGGAGGAGCATGCAATGGACTAAGGGTCTGAGTAAGACGTCATACCCCTGAGAAGGGGGAGGATGCAGGAGGAATCGGAATCGGAGGAGGAGGAGGAGGAGGAGGAGCAGGAGCAGGAGGAGGAGGAGCGGGGAGAGGGGGAGGGGGAGGAGGGAGGAGGGAGGAGGACTAGGCGGATGAGAAAGAGGAGGAGGAGGAGGAGGAGGAGGAGGAGGAGGACGAGGGGGAGGAGGAGGAGTAGGAGGAGGAGGATGAGGGCGGTCAAAAAGGCCTGAGGCCTCATGGATGCTTCTCGGAGTCTCACTGTCGAGAGCTTCGTGAAGTTCCTTTGCGGCGTCTTGGGAACTCTTGGCAGTCCTGGGGGTCTTTGGGGTGTCTTGGGTGTCTCTTGGGGGCCTCTTGGGGCCTCTTGGGTGTTTTGAGGGGGGCCTCTTTGGGTCTCCACGCCTCTTGTGGCCCTCTTGGGGCACTCTTGGGAGCCTCAGAGGCCATCTTGGGACCATCTTGGGGGAAATAGTGCTCTCCCCAGAGGGCCAACATTGACCGACATTTCTGGTACAATCAATAGTTTTTGCCTTCTCGCCGAGGACATCTTTTGACACTCCAACGCGTAGCAAAGCGCCCCGTCCAGGTCCAGAGGTAGGGGGTAGGGGGAGGGCTATACCCTTCCCCGAATGGGAACGGGGGGGTTGGAAGAGAACGCGCCCTAAATCACTCACGCCCTAAAGGACAGGTGATATTTTACATGTGCTGGTGGACCCCTCACCATCAAGAGGGCTCAGATTTCTGGGGGGGGAACTTTGGCGGCCCCAAGATCGTCTCACACCGCTCTGGGGAATCCGTAGCCTTTTTGGCTCAATGTTTTTTGTTGCTCAAGCCCTGTCTCGAATCCTACCGCACCTGTGCATCAGCCACTGACCAATCCGCACCGCATCTTCGATTCGCGTCATCTCCGTCATGCGCGCGGCTGCGCTTCCTGCGCTGATCGTTGGTACCGTGCTACAGGCGACTCCAGTGCGTTCTCTTCGCGCGCCGCCCCCCCAGTCGCCCCTGTGGCAGGCCCTCTATCCAGAGACCGCGCCTTTTGAAGATCAGGAGGAGCCCGAGGACAGCGAGCTCGAGGTACGCGTGACTGCCGACGAGGTGAAGGCCCTCATTCCAGAGGGCGCAAGGAATGTTGCTTGTCCCAACCGTCTTGGTGTTAGAGGTGCCCGAAAGCTTTATGTCCATGATGCCACCGACGGGCTAGGTTCCAGGATCCTGAACGTCATCGGTGCTCTGAGGTACGCTGAGAAGATGAATGTTGGCTTCGGGGGGTTGGTCTCACTGGGGGGTGGGCGCCATGGTCACACAGCGTGAATATCTCTGCCGGATTGCAGGCGTTTTTTGCGTGTGACCTATACGTTGACGCTCTGCCGCAAGATACGCAGGTGTTCCCGACTGTCCAAGCTCTAAGTCAGCAGCTCGATAAGGGCGCAATTGCAAACGAGGCCCACGTTTATGTAGAGAGCCGTGACGGCTTCAAGGGGGCGAATTACGGCATCCAGATTTTGTCGACTCTATTGGCAGCATTGAGGGCCAGCAACGCACCTATCATGCAGATGCCCCTGGTGCGTTTCCAACCCCGCGACCTCAACGTTGCCGTTCATGTACGCCGGGGAGACGTGGATGATTGGGTCCCTGGGAGGGGTACGAGCCACGAGTACTACGTTTGACTGATAAAAATCATGCGGAGCAAGGTGCCCTACGCGAAGTTCCACATCTTCAGCGAGCAGCGTCGGCGCAGCAACAACACCGACGAGTTCGACCAGTACAGCAAGTTGGGTGCCACTGTGAACCTGGACACAGAAGCAACTGAAACGCTTGCGCATTTTGCCAGGGCCGACGTCCTTGTTACTGCGAAGAGCAGCTTCTCATACTCTGCAGCCCTGTTGAACCCGACTTGTGTGCTTTACCAGAGGTGGATGTTGGCGGTGCCTGGGTGGGTGCCACTACCAATGTCAGAAAATCTTGGAAACGACGCTACTGAAATGCTCAGTCAGCAGATCGGCAGCTGCATGTTGAGCATCGCAGCGCGGAAATATGGCGGACAGGAGTGAGCCAGGGTCCATACAGCGAGGTTTGCTCGCCCTCCATTCGCGTGATTATCATAGTGCCCCTTCTCAGCATTGTATCACGATCAGACGAAGGACTTCGACACGCTACAGCCAGGCCCTTCCCAATTGCGCGAGTTGGTTGTTTCGGAGTGCGCATCATGTTGTATAGTGACTGGTTACGGCGATGACCGAAGTGAAGCGCCGCATGCAACAGAATTGCATGGTTGTTTTGCTTGGTTGGCCCCCGCTTAGCACGATATTTCATCACCTGGGGCGCATTTGGCGTCCCCAGGTGCCGCTGATTTGATCGGCGAGTGATTGTCGCGTCGATCGATGTCTTCGGCGTTCGGCTTGTTTGTCTATCTCAGTTGGTGGAGCATATCCGCGGAGCCATTTGAGCCTTTCCTAAGTCATATAACGCCAATGTGGTTACTTATAAGAAGCGGTGCCTGGTTGGAAAAAAGCTTGCTCCTGTTGGTAAAACTTTATCCTGGCGAAGGACCCAACCATATACAAATGTGAATACCGCAATTGTGAATACCATCTTCGCCCGCGCTCCCTATGTGGCCACGGCTTCCCGCCGGAGCCCGACATGCTCAGGGACACGTTCGTGGCCGTCTTCGCGGGCGCCGACGACGACAAGGGCGGCGTCCCTCTCACCGAGGAGCAGAAACAGGAAAGGGCCTTGAGAGCCATGAGGGAGGAGGTGGCGTTGCACGTCGACAAGGCGGAGTACGACGCCCAGGCGCGGTTGTTGAAGCAGCACAGCTATGGGGCCACGATCCTCGTGAGGGGTGTGCCGAAATGGCCCGGGGCCGCCATGCGAACCCTGCCACTGGCGCCTTCGGTGGAGCTCCAGTGGGGCCACGGTCGTCGTGAGGGGTGTGCCGAAATGGCCCGAGGCCGCCATGCGAACCCTGCCACTGGGGCCTTCGGTGGAGCTCCCTCTGGGGCCACGATCCTTGTGAGGGGTGTGCCGAAATGGCCCGAGGCCGCCGTGCGAACCCTGCCACTGGCGCCTTCGGTGGAGCTCCCTATGGGGCCACGATCCTCGTGAGGGGTGTGCCGAAATGGCCCGAGGCCGCCATGCGAACCCTGCCGCTGGCGCCTTCAGCGGAGCTCCCTCTGGGGCCACGATCCTCGTGAGGGGTGTGCCGAAATGGCCCGAGGCCGCCATGCGAACCCTGCCACTGGGGGCCTTCGGTGGAGCTCCCTTTTATGGGTCTACGATAGTCGTGAGGGGTGTGCCGAAATGGCCCGAGGCCGCCATGCGAACCCTGCCACTGGGGGCAGTCGGTGGAGCTCCCTATGGGTCCACGATCGTCGTGAGGGGTGTGCCGACATGGCCCGAGGCCGCCATGCGAACCCTGCCACTAAGGCCTTCGGTGGAGCTCCCTATGGGGCCACGATCCTCGTGAGGGGTGTGCCGAAATGGCCCGAGGCCGCCATGCGAACCCTGCCACTGGCGCCTTCGGTGGAGCTCCCTTTTATGGGTCTACGATAGTCGTGAGGGGTGTGCCGAAATGGCCCGAGGCCGCCATGCGAACCCTGCCACTGGTGCCTTCGGTGGAGCTCCCTATGGGTCCACGATCGTCGTGAGGGGTGTGCCGAAATGGCCCGAGGCCGCCACGCGAACCCTGCCATTGGGGCCCTCGGTGGAGCTCCCAATGGGGCTACGAAGCGTTGTTCCGGGTGGGTGAAACGCAAGGAGGAGGGGGACGAGGAGAGGAGGAGAGGAGACGCGGGCCACCGTCTCTTCAAAACGAGGACCCAACACCACAGGATGGTTGGGGAACAAAAACGCTCTGGGGAAGCCCGCAGACGGCGCGCCAGACGCCTCGGATGGCATCCGCCCCAGGGGCCCCGACTAGAAGCACTGGCGGCCCCGGGAGGCTCAGGCGAGGCTCCACGGGAGGCTTCTCAGCGCTCGCAGAGCTGCCCCCAACGCGTCGTCCGGCTGCCCGCGGCACGTCCTCCGCCGCCGCGCCCGCCCGGCCCCGCGTGTGGCGGCTGCTCCGAGTGGGCGCACGGCGGGCCCGAACGCGCGGCGCGCGGCACACCTCGTGTTTGCCCGTCGTGCCGGGTGCTCTATGCTCGTCTTCGTCGTCGTGCTCCCTGTCTCAGGAGGGGCAAACACACACACAGGCACAACTAATCCTCGATCCCCCAGAACGTATGGGAAACTAGGGGAAGTGTGTAGGGGGGAAGACAAGAACCCAGAACCTATGGGAAACTATAGGGGATCCTCTTATCTGTGTGTATTTGCTTGTGTGTCCCAGGGCCCTTTGTCTGTCGTGCGCCCTCTCCGGGGCTCCCGTGGGGCAGGCTCGGGGGCCCACCGGGCCCTGGGCCGTCCCCTGGGGCTCCCTCGGGCCGTTCTCGGGCTCCCACGGGCGGGCTCGGGGTCGTTTTGGGCGCTCTTCAGTCAGAGCGTGAATTACCTACCCCGCTTTCGGTTCCAGGCAAAACCAAGTCATACCACGCGCCTCCCCGTTGAGCGGCCTGACCAGTGCGGGCCGTAGTTTGGCATCACTTGGTAGCTCTTGGAAGCGAGGGTGGTCAAAAGCGAGGTATGTTCGTTGCCCCCTATTCAGGCTGAAACGTTTCAGTGTCTCGGTTCTCTTGGGCCGGCCCCTGGGGCCTCCAAGACGTACCAAGGGGCCGGCCCAAGATCGCCCAGCGGTTCTCTGGGGCCGTCTTCAAGCACCTTGGATGTGGAGGCCACGCTGCCACGCCCCTGAGCCCTCGGGAAATGTCAAGCGGGCATTCGCGGGAGTTCGCATGTCTGAGCGCGCGAGAGAGCTCCCAGGATTTCGGGAGTTGGGGCCCCCGCAGCGGGCATCTACCATATTCAAGACAGATGCATATTTCGAAGCGGAGTGCACTCCACTCGGTGCCTGCGGCACGGTGGCGGGGTCATAAGGAACAGTGGTGCCCCCTGTCCCCGCATGGGAAGAGGGGGTTGGAAGCGGAAGGCATCTCATTCACATCCGCCCAGATATAGGATGTTCCAACTTATTTTAGCCTGAATCACAAGCAATACATTCGAGCATCAATAACGTACTGGAGCTGGAGGGTTTTCGCGTGTCGGGCCCTGTGAGGCGATACTCGTTCGACATTGTTTCGATACTTTTCTGGGTGCTCAAAATTATTTCTGGGATGTGGTCCATATGTGCGATGGGAGCAACCTAAGCCCAGATAAGAATTTGGTCTTTTCGGGGGCGTGAGCCCGCAAGCGCAGAGAGTATTTTCGGACTCCCCGTCTGCTGGAGGGATTTCCAGGCGACTTGAGATTGGGAGAGTATGGCAAGCTCAAACACGGCTCCTGTGCATTCGGGGAACCAGCCCACGGCCGTAAGCAAGGGCAGTTTTGAGCGATAGTTGAGCGCTCCTCCCTGTCGGCGCGGATCCTCTTCGCCCCACCCCCCTGCATCCTTCACCTGCTGCTCTCGATCTCGCAATCTGCCGCTCCTTCCGGGCGCCCCACTGCTCCTGGCCACCCCGCCCCTGCCCTGTGCGCAGCCTGCTCCTGGCACCCTTGACGAACCAACAACACACACACCCATACCCATAGGGGGGTCGGAAAGGGCTATGGGTGCGTGTTGTCGGATGGGGGTCCCCGCGTTCCCTAGGGTCCGACAACCCGCACCCATACCCATAGCCAGTCCTCCTCCCAACGACCACCTTATGGGTGGGGGTGTGTGTTGTTCGTTCGTCAACCCTCCCTGCCACCCTCCCGGCAGCCCGCTCTGCTCTCCGCTCCCCCCGAGAGGTTCCCCAACTTTCACCTGTGCTTCACCTTCTCGGAGATGAGGAGCGCGATGTACTACACCGCCACGGGGCGGGGACGCGGGAGGGCACGACGCGGGGAGGGCAGGCAGGGGGGTTCGGGGGAGCACGCGGCGCAGGAAAGGCCGCCGCGACGGCTGCCCTCTCGCTGCCTCCTCGGGGGGCGCCTTGGAGTGCCCAGCGCTTCGGGGACTCCGCGGGGCCTTCGGGGGTAGCACGAGGTTGAACAGACGCTTGCGTATGACTTGCAGGCCAGCTGCCTGCGGCGCGGCCCGCCGCAGGGCGAGAGCGGCACATTGTGGCGAAGCTTGGAGCACTGAAGGCCGTCACATGTGACACCTCTCGTTTCTATTCCTTGAGTGGCCGTCTGGGGCGTCTTGGGCCGTCTTCAGCATCCGTGGGGCCCTCTTGGGCCGTCTTGGTGCTATCTTGGGCCGTCTTGGGCACCTCTCGGCCGTCTGGGAGGTCTCCCGGGGTTAGCTTGGATGCTTCGGAGTGCCCTCCTCCTGGGGTTGCCTGTGTCGTATCCAGAACAGTGTCCATGGAATCTTGGAGTCCAGACGTGCACGCTAGCATTTGCCGAGCTCGGTATGCAGCTTGCAGTGCGGTGACGCGGAACGTCAAGCAATTACAACGATGCTGCGTCTGTGGTATTGCTTGGCAACTGCAGGGACAGTGGCTACGCATACGACAATCGCAGTGCTAATAATGGCGTTGCCGTTCGCATTAATTTTACCACCATTGCCACTGCCTCATCTGGCTTACATGATGGGCTTGTTTTCCAGCACCACTGCCATAAATTGGAGGGGGAGGGAGGTGGAGGACGATGAGGAGGAGGACGAAGAGGCGGAGGAGTAGGGGGGGGAGGAGGAGGAGGAGGAGGAGGAGGAGGAGGAGGAGGAGGAGGAGGAGGAGGAGGAGGACCTCCTCCGCCTTCCAACTTATGGTGGTGGTGGTGGAAAACAGGCCATCATTACAATTAGAATGACAAGGGCGCTGTGTGGCCAGGGGTGGTGCGTACCCCGATCCATCCGAGCAGCATTTTTTTATGCGGCGCAGCTGCCCAGCCCGTGCATGAACACACAACTCCTTTCGAGAGGAGGCGTGTGTGATGAATGCGTGGCAGCTGTGATGATTGCAACTGCGCAGAAGGGTGGACGAACACTGAGCTAGTGATGAGTGTCGCGAGGAACGTGATTATCTCACCGGCGGTG